CCCCCCCCCCGCAAACCCCCCTCTTAGCTTAAGCCCTAAGCCCGAAGCCTAAGCCTGAAGCCTTATGCCTTAGGCTCATGGGGCCCATTAGGCTTGATCTTCGATTTGTCTGCACCAAAGTCGTCCGAGCATACAGTCTGTGTCGTAGTCCTACGCCCGAGGTCCTAGGTCTTAAGTGGTTTCCAGTGTTTGTGTTGTTCTGGATAGTAACCGTGAGTTCTAAATTCTAAGGATTCGTAAAAAAAACAAATTAAACTAAACCCACTTCCCAAACCTATTCATGTTGCAGTCCTCCGAGAATACAGTTCCTGGAAGCAGAGGTCGCAGAGCCCGAATTCCTCAAGTCTTAGTGATAGTGCTTCGTGTCCCAGTGACTCCGAGTGGTCTTTGTTAGAGAAAGTTTCAAGTCAAGCAGCGAGTTTCAGGAGATTTTGTAGCAGCTTTTCGCAGACCGTCACCAAGCGCCAGTATGGAAGGTTTTGTTCCTGTGTACGTAACAAAGAAGCCTTTATGCATCTGCGGGCATTTTTTTAGCCGTTGACCTGTTCTGGGTGATGCCGTGTTGCCGTTGATTTACAGTCCGCAGCTACACTGCTACACTACACGTAGTGATTCAGTGTAGTATAGGAGTCCACAACGAACGCTGTAGCTGTAGCTGCAGGGCTGCAGGTTTCCATTTCCAAACAGTTCCGTTGTCCGCTCTACGTCTACGTCTCTACGTCTCTACGTCCAGGAGTCCGAGTCCAGGTCCGTAGCTCCCTTGGAAATAAATGCTTTGCTTTAAAATTCTTCGAAATCTTCTGCAGTGGTGACATGCGCATGCAGAGGCATTATCCCTGTGGGCAGGCAAAAGCAGGGAAACTGCTGTTGGGGTCCTTGGCCCGCAACCAGCGTATCTTTGAGAAGTGCATGGGCTTGAAATACGAAGTCGAGGAGCTTGTCCCGCAGTGGATGGGGCTGGTTTTCCCGTACATTAAGAGCGCCCTCCAACTCGAGAAGGCCTTCAAGGCCATTCCAGCCGGAGCTGATGCTGCTGCGAGGATGCCCAAAGACAAGGAGTATGCGAAGCTCTTTGCGTTGGGGCGAGCCTTGCGTGAGCATGCGCACGCCAGAGCGGCTGTCAGGACCTTCTTGCAGGACTGTCGGGTTAGGGCCTGGGCCCAGTCGCGAGGGCAACTGCAGTGCTGAGTGCTTGGCGATCCCAGGTACCCTTTGTAAGCCAGGGCAGCTAGCTAGCTAGGGCCTCGGCCTAAGGCCATAGGGCCATAAGGATGTAGGGTTTCGGGCTCGCAACTTGAATCTTCATTCTTGATTTTTTGGAGGACTCCGTTCCAGAGGCTTCGAAGGCTGAGGAGCTCTTCGCTGTGCGCCTCGAATGGATCCCCGAGCTGGAAATCCAAGAGCTGTACGAAGACTGCTCGAGCCATGTTCTGGTGGAGGTCACCAAGAAGGTGAAGGGAGCCGGCCAGCGCCTGCTTGAGGAGTCGAAGGGTGCGATGAGCGGCTACGAGCACGACTGGAAAGCAGGGTTGGCGGAAGCGGACGTGGAGCAAGCCGTTGCGGCGTTCAAGAAGAAGTTGTTCGGATTGAACGGCGCGCAAATCACCGAGAATGCGGACAAGCTTGACGAGGCTGCCGGCAGGATAAGTGATAAGTCTCTGTGGGAAGTAAGTAGTTTACGTCGTACAGTTACGTAGTTTATGTTCAAGACTTAAGTGTTCAAGTCTAAGTGTTCAAGTCTAAGTCTAAGTCTAAGTCTA